AAAAACACTCAAAATGTAAAATTTACACTTAAAAACATACTTTTTGTGTCTTTAAAATGGACATGCTGTATTTATAAAGTAACAATCTTAGCCTAAAAACAGTAGACAAATAGTAAGGTGAATGACCATGTCTTTTTAACTGTTAGGTATTTACAATCAAGTTAGCTAGCCCTTGTCTACACAGGCACGCAAGGAAGTCTGGGGCTTCACTGCATCAGTAATTCTATACTTCAGCTAATTATTATTTTCACAAAATTTATTACTATTTTGCAAAAGTAGTATAATTAATTATAGAAAATTAAGAAATTGCTAAGAAATGTAAAAGGAAAGAAAAATCATCTGTGATTTTTTTTTTCTCTAGAAGTATTTTGGTGCTGATTATTCTTGATCAAAGTATATGTACATTATTCATATGTATATAGTTATATGTACACATATAAACATAGTTTTTCAAAATTAGTATTAATTATCATGGCTGACTTCTAACCTGTTTTTTTCAATTTATGATATATCCTGAATACATTATTTTTGAATGGAATTTAAATTGCCTGAACACAATAAATTTGCATATAAATTGTATACTATAATTTAAGCATCCCAAATAGTTGAGTAACTACTTCTAAAATATTTGATACCTTAAATAATATCTACGAACTTCTGAATAGCTTTTCACCCCTTACGATTTTAAAATGATTCAAAAGGATACTTTATAAAAAATGGAATGTGGGATAAAGATATATAAAATTCAGGTATTTGATGTGTAGTATAAAGTTGCTGTTTAGAAAAACAGTATAATTTATATGCCCATAAGTAGTTTAGCAGAATCAGCCAACACTGTCATCAACACAAGTCAGCAACATCAAAGTTATAGTTATTTTCCAACTTGATCAGCAAAAAGTATCCATAATTTAATTCTTAACTCCCAGGCAAACTGATGAAAATCCTCTGACAACTTACACAGTACTGTGGGCTCAGTACTAGAAGTCACAATAGACTGAGTCAGAGAAGCACCTTCATCCAGACCAGGGAGGGCTTTGGATGCTAAGCACAGCCCTGTGGTTTGGCCCTGCATGCTATGGGGTCTCAGCCATGGTGCTATCCTCTCAGGAAGTATCTTAGAAATCAGGTGGATGCTTTGGGTTCCATCGTGTTTGCAGGTGCTACTGATACTCAGTGGGTGGGGACCAGAGAGGCCAGCTGCCCAGGAAGGGCTAGTTCATTATGAAGCCAGGGAGCATCATCTCATCTGTCCAATTTTCTAACAGTCTCTGGGGAATATAGAAGGTGAAAACTGTGACTACAATCATTCAAGCCCAGCACTTCACTGTTTTATATGAAATGCCAAATACCATGTGCCCATTCTAATAAAGAAATTTTTCTACTAACATGTCAAGCAAGGGAAAAATATTTTATTTGGAATTTTATCCAGAATTAGGTGTCATTTTTTCAAAATCAAATCACTAACATTGCACCATCCTTGTTTGCACCACTGACACAATCTGCTTACAAGAGTCTGCATTTGTCTACGTCTTACATTCACAGTATTACCACGACACGTGCAGGAATCCCATCAGTTCTGTGTGTCTCCCAGTATT